TGAGGCCCTGGGTTCCATTCCTCAGTACCACATAAGCAAAAAGAAAAAAGCCGGAAGTGGTGCTGTGGCTCAAGTGGTAGAGCGCTAGCCTTGCGCTGAAGAGCTGAGGGACAGTGCCCAGGCCCACAGTTCAGGCCCCACTATCGGACCCCCCCACACACACAAAAAAAAAAAAGAATTTCATGGAAAGCTGGGCGCCAGTGACTCATACCTGTAATATTAGCTACTCAGGAGGCTGAGATCTGAGGACTGCAGTTTAAAGCCAGCCCAGGCAGGAAAGTGTGTGACTCTTATTTCCCATAAACCATTCAGAAAACCAGAAGTGGCACAGTGGCTCAAGTGGTAGAGCACTAGCCTTGAGCTGAAGAGCTGAAGGACAGCATTCAGGCCCAGTTCAAGCCCCATGAACAACAAAAAATAATTTCATGGATTTTTCTGCCCAGGCTGGCTTCAAACCACGATCTTCACATCTCAGAGTCCTGAGTAGCTAATATTACAGGTGTGAGCCACCAGCTGCTGGCAGGTCTTTTTTTTTTTTTTTTTTTTAAAGAGTTCTAGTCAGTCCCCCTGCCCTTGCTTTTATTGTGGTTCCTAAGAACTCAAGTCTTCTTAGCCAAGACCATCATCTTCAATTAATGATGATTTAAAAAAAAAACAACTGCCGGGCGCTGGTGGCTCACGCCTGTAATCCTAGCTACTCAGGAGGCTGAGATCTGAGGATTGCGGTTCAAAGCCAGCCCGGGCAGGAAAGACTGTGAGACTCCTATCTCCAATAAACCACCAGAAAACTGGAAGTGGCGCTGTAGCTCAAGAGGTAGAGTGGTCGCCTTGAGCTGAAGAGCTGAGGGACAGCGCCCAGGTCCAGAGTTCAAGCCCCACGACCGACAAAAAAAAAAAAAACTTTTTCTCTAAAGCAAGGGAAGTATATTCTGTTTTTTGTAACAAGTGGACTGATTTTTCCAAAGCACTTATATGTTTCAACTCCCACCTTAACTTCCCTAAAGGATCAACAGAAGTGACCTAATCTAACATTTCTCAGTAACTTACCCCCACCCCAACTACAAACACCTTCATCCTATTTCATTGTATGTGTCAGGGATCTTTCTTCTCACCCCATTCCTTATTTGATCAGATTCCCTCTGCAAGTGCTCTACCAGGGACACAGCCTCCTCAATGGTTTTTGGATGGTACTTCTGTATCCGAGTCTGCATCTCCCTTGGGAGAATGGACAGGAACTGCTCTAACACCAGTAGTTCCAAGATCTGCTCTTTGGAGTGCACTTCTGGTCTCAGCCAAAGATGGCATAATTCTTGAAGCTGGCTGACAGCCTCACGGGGTCCTGATGCTTTGTGATAATCAAAATTCCTGAAGTGCCAACAAGAGTTCCTGTGTCTGAGACTGTCTCTCTGTGAAGAAGACACTTTACTTTGACCGGAGTGCTCTGTCACAGGCTCGTTGGTCTCCCACAGAGCCTTGACATGAGGGTTCAAATACTCAATCTTCAGATCTACCATCACCATTTTGCTGCAGCAAGTTTTGCTCCTATGTCTGACACCTCAGTGGTGCTATCTTTGGCCACCAAGGTCCTGTCTGGTGTGGTACAGAAGAAGTGAGTGAAAATATCTTCTTCCTAAAGTCACCAAGGGGAGAAAAAAAAGTACATGTCAATAAAGTCACATGAACCATAACAATTGTTACATAATTATGAGAGAAAAATAAGCAGAAAAGGTCCCAGCTTATTTTCTCATTTAAAATCAACTGCCAGAGCAAAGCACCAGTGACTCATGCCTGTAATCCTACCTACTCAAGAGGCTGATAGCTGGGGATGGAGACTTGAAGCCAACCTGAGCATGAAAGTCCATGAGACTTACTTCCAATTAACCACCAAAAAGCTGCAAGTGGAGCTGTGGCTCAAGTGGCAGAGCACCAACCTTGAGTGAAAAAGCTAAGGAAACAGACCTGAGCTTAAGCTTCAATAAGAGTAGGGGAATGGGGGAGTCAACTGCGAGGCCTTTTGTTCTCTCCTTTCTGCCACTAAAAGTAAAACACGGCTAGAGAAGGAAAAATGTCAATAGATTACATTGCTCTTAAAAAAAAAAAAAAAGCTAACTCAGGAAAGGCAGGCAATAGAAAAAAATCAGCACCAACAAGTTGAAAGGAGTGTGAAGGCTCCACATACAAGTGATTTGTGTGTTTCCTATCCCATTTTCCCCATAAGAAAAAAAGCAGGAGAAAATAACAATATATTCTTAGTTTCTCTTAAACTTTAACAGCTCACCCCAATCTGAGTTTAGGAAGTGTTCAACTTCCACAACCCTTCTGGCACTTTCCACTGTATGAACAATGGCAAAGAACTAAGACCCCGTGAGCCAACACAGAAAAAAAAAAAAATAGGGGAAAGTAGCCCCATTCTTCTCAAGGTCTCTTCACCAGGCAAGCCAGAGGCTCCCCTTTCTTTGCAAGAACATTTATGCAGAATTTTACATGTCTGCTTAATTGGGCTAGAAAAAAAAAATCACCACTGACTTGTTAAAGCGGAGTGGGAGCTGGTGAGGAGGCCGGGGTTGCGTCCCTCGGGTGGTCAGGAGGCTCAGGAGCTTCGCGGGCCTCCCTTTCTCTCTCAGGGAACCAAGGTTTGGCCCAGGGTGCCGCAGGCATTCGGAGAGGCCGGCTCCCGGCCGCCTCGGCCCGGCTCCCG